TGGCCTCTCTGAACCAGGGGACTGCAGAACCACTGCTGTGAGCAGTGTGGAGGAGAGCCTCTCAAAGTCTTCCCCAAAGAAAACACCCTGCAAAGGAGGGTATTCTACAGAAAAACAGGGAAGCAGAGGTGCAGAGGGCAAATGGCCCTCCTGATGCTCAACAGTTTTGCAAGCCTAAGTGTGCAGAAGACTAATCAGAGCTTTAGTAAATAAGACTGGATAAAACTGCTGTACCATTCACTGGTACTGTTTCATCACCAAGAGCTCCAGGCATTTCAGAAACCCAGCAGTATCAGTAACAAATTCCTGATGATCTTGTGTGGCACTTGAAATATTTTGGAGCAGATACTGAGAGATACAACTCCAGTTTAGAAAGCAACAAGATGTTAATCATGGGCCCAAGTAAGACCCGTCCTCCACCCAAAGCCAGCGGGTGTGAGCCCCTCACAGGTGCAAGGCACTTCAGCAGCTTGATTCCTCCTCCCACAAAATGCAGGATGGAGTTTGATTTAAAGTAAGCTAGAGTCTTGGGTCTTCAGGTGAGCACTTTGTCATCCAGCTCAGGGCACTCTGGTTCTCTGCTGAGCACTACAAGCAGCTCGTTGTATGCAGAACAAATACCTTCAGGGGGAGATCAACCCCAAAATGCAGGACTGGAGTAAGTTTCCAGCATCCTCAGGGGACAATCAAACTGTCCCTCATAGGCTGGTTGTGACTGTGCAGGACGCTTCCCAGTAGCACCTTGAGTCTTGCATTAATTAATAATATTAACAACATCTACACTCGATCACTACAGTGGCCATGTATAAGGGTGAGAAATCTCTCTGTCCACCATCCTTTGTCTTTCTCATACATTTGCATTTTAAATTCTCTGGGGTATATTTTATCTACTGTTTGGCATGATGTCTGGCAGAACAGGCTGTGATTTAGCACCACAAAAAAACCCAACTGAAAACAAAACAAAACAAAAACTTGACTAACCAGCTTGGGAAATTAAATGTCAAATGGGGGAAAAAAAAAAGACAGATGCAGATTTAGGAATTAAAAAACAAATAGATAACTGAGAGTATGTGCATCAGGCAAAATAGAAGGGAGAAAGTAATTATTAACAGCATTTATTATTAGAGTGTCATTCCAACAATTAAGACTGCAGTCCCACTGTGACAGGCACATATAAAAACATGGTTCCTGGACAATTACAGTGTAAACAGACATGAGACAAAGGAAAGGAGAAAGAGTACAATGAACCCCCCGAAAGATCAAGTTAATTGAGTACAAACAGCATAAGAAGGCTGCACTATTTCCTGGCACACTACATTTAATTAGAAATGCATGAAGCAAAACAAACATTAAACTGAACAGAATTAAATAAAGGGAAGAGAGAAGGAATGCAACTTGTATGCTTCAAAGTACCTTCCTTTCATCCAGGTAGTTTTTATCACAGTAAAGAGGATTATTTAGCTTTATTACTCCTACTAACACTGCTGGAAATTATCTGTCTTACAGGGATGGTTCTCAGAGAGGCAACAGTAGCTAACTGCAAGCTGGGTCACTGACAAGCCCTTCTCTAATGTGTATTGCAGAGCTGAGGAGGAAAATAAAATATTCTTTAAAATCTCTCCAGGCTTCAGCTCTGCCAAAGCTTCCTTTCATGGTTCTTTAAATTCCACACTTGATTTCCAGACCATGAAAAGAGCAGTAAAAAAAACATGTCTGTTTTGCCTTTCCTTATTGTGGAATATTTCACTCTCCACAACTGGATGCTGTAGAACTTCAATAATTTGTGTTTCAGGGGCACCCAAACAGAGATCCAGTTTTCTCAGGAATTCTACTGATAGAATAGAGGGCTATCCCTGTTCCCCAAGTGCTTACAAATGTAAAGGCACAAAGCCTGAGCAAAATCAAGAAATGAACACAAGGGCAGGATGGAAAAAAGCAGGCACCATTTGTGCAGAATAGGTGAAGTTGTCAGCCAAGCTGTTAACACAGCTCACCATCTACTTAGTCAATTCTGCTAATGGCATTTTCCTCTATTCATTACTGCAGGCAAGGAGTTTTAACGAGCATAAGGTGATATGAATGAATTTTAGATTGAGAACTGATTTAGTGAAGTTTCCTGATTTTGCACACAATTACCATCTGATGTCTTCTGTGAAGATGGGCAGCACAAAGCAATGACAGACTTTGCACATGTGCACCCAACTGAGTGCACCACAACAACCAGCACGGGCCATCAGAGCCTTCTGAGACCACATTTAAGAGGAGAAAGATTTCACATTTGTTTTAAGGAAAAGACAAAGCTCAAATGTTCGTTGCATTTCCCTTTCCTGGGCGGGGAGAGAGGAAAGAGGGGTCGTGGCCCAAAGGAAATAAGTGAAAAACTCCTAAAAGTCCTGATTTTTTATTTTATTTTTTAAGCAGGAAAGCCAGCGGACAAGGTCTCCCCTCCCGCTGCTTCCTGTGCCTTCAAATTGTGAGCGCAGGCACCTTCAGGCCCGGCGCTGCTCTCAGCCGCAGCCTCGCTGGCCGGACAGCATCATCCCTCCATCGACAAACCCCTCGCTCAGCTCCTTACAGAACGTTCCCCACACACACACAGGACATCGGCAGATCTGCCAGCTCTCCGGCTGTTCGGCGTTCCACCCGTCCCGTGCGCTGCCCGCAGCCTGCACGTGCACTCCGGCTTCTCTTTCAAGTGCAACGTTTCCCATCCCCACGGTGGGAGCGGGAGCCCGCGAACCGAAGGCAGAGCATCCCACCGCAGAAGGGGACGAACCCCGGCGGCCGCCCGGCGGTCAGACAGCCCCACGGCACCCGCAGGCACA